TTCAGCAGCCTCCCTCCCAACTTCTAGTCTAGGAAATCAGCTGTGATGAGGGACCCGGGGGAAGCCACAGAAAATGCAACTAAGGCACAGAGAGGTGACATAATTTGCTCAAGAAGATCAGCTTCAACCCCCAACAGTTTGTGTCAAGGCCCTCTGTTTAACTCTTATGCTAAGCAAGCTAACTTTTTGTAGATTATGGTTATAAACAGATGAGGTATCAAAATACATACAAGGGCACACATCAACTCTAAGATGTTCATTAACTCCACTATTTTGTTTCTATTTATTTTATTTCCATTAAAAAAATAATAAGAACATCTGCAGTCAATATAGCAAAATGTTACTGGGCTTCAAATACAGGATATAGAGGTGTTAAGTGTGTCATTACTTTTACTTGTTTGTATGTTCACAAGACAAAATGATTTGAAAGTCCCTCTCCCCTCCCTCTACTCACTACTGGCTCTCACCAGAGCTCCCAGGCCACACATTTAACAACCTTTCACTTTACCCACAGCTGAACTCATCAGTTTTTCCCCAGAACTCCCTCTGCAGCTTTCCCTCCTCAGAGCAAAGCAGGACCATCACTTACCTCATTAATCCACCCAGAAACCTGCACCTTACTCCATCCTACCTTCACAGAGAGCATTCATCCTTTCCTTTTAACCATCTAAACATGCCTTCAATCTGTTTGCTTTTACCCACTGACCGTCCCACCACTCAAGTGGAAGCCACCAACACTGCCCACCTGGACTCATGAGTCTCCCAAGTGGCCCCACAGCCGCTCTCCCCTACTTGAGACAAATGGGATTGTGTCACTCCCGCGCTTTTAGGACTCTTTTCAAACCCAATATTCTTTGAAGAAACTCCAAGTACTTCACCTGGTGAAGGTCTTTGCCATCATACTGTCAGCTCAGGGAGGGCAGGACACGCCCTCTCCCCTCAGCCCTGCCCTCTGGCAGAGCATCAGCTTGGGAGGACCTGCTGAGCTACAGGAGCCTGCATTCTAAACCTGGTCTTGTGTTCTTAGCGAACTGCTTCACTTATCCATACAAATCTAAGGTATATTAGAAAGATTTTAGATGTTGAGCTAGACTATTGATTTGTGGATTTTGCACTAGCAACCTGCAAGTACATGTTCTGATGATTCTGTCTTCTTAAAATCACACCCAGATTTAAGTAATATTTGTGGAATGTCTTAAGAGTAAAAGGGACTGTACTTTTACAGACTTTACGTTTTATAACATGAACAACCCGGACAGGGTCACAAATGGAACTGCCTCACAAGTGACAGAAGACAGGTGAGAGGCATATAGCAACAGGTCACAAAGATGGTAAGAGTAAAGTTTTTCACCACCCCCTCAAAAATTCCTCAAAGAATAGAAAACTCTGAATTTTGAAAGTAAAATACCATCATATAAAGAAATAAAATAAATAATCCTCTTCACCAGGTTTTCAAGATCTGACTCCAGAATTTTTAGCATGCCATACTGAATCCTAGCACAGAAAAGTCAGATGGACTAGTGGTGAATAATTTCCAGGAAAACTGCAGTAATTCCTCCACTTGTGTAAGGACATACACTCACCTGTCGAAGGTGAATGTAAACTGCATTCTGGAGAAATTCAGAAGTTTCCAGGCTCTGCTTCTGGATGGCAAGGACACGGACAGCTTTGAAGCATGCTTCCAACTGAGTCACCTGCATTCTTACACTGCAGGGGGAAAAGGAATCCAGCCAAGAGCAGAGATGTTCTTGTCGCGTCTCACAGGCTGTGCCTTGGGGACTCAGTGCCCTGCAGCAGCCTGGCATGAGGCCAGGACCCACAGCGTGGCCCACCCAAGCAGGAGGGGCACTGTGCTTGAGAAAGCCCATCCCCGATGGGGGTAAGAGGGGCTGGTGGGGTTACGTGAACCTATAAATGCTCACAGAAATACACCTATATACAATAAAGTCATACAATTAAGAGTAGCAGGCTATTTAACAAAATTTCAATTGTCATTGGAAATTTTACCATTCCTTTCCACTTGTCCCCTGAACTCTGAGACAGGCTTAGGCTCTCCCACACCTGCAGCTCTGATGCAATAGGTGTGAAGTGATTTTACTTTGCTGCAAGTGTCTTCGCTCCCTGTGTCGCTGTGACTGTCATCTCTTAACATGTTCAGATGTCTTCCTGGATCTCTCCCTGAGTTCCTTCCTCCTGCTACTCAGATCCTAAAATAAAGGGCAAGTGAGGACACATGACCAGAAAAGGTACGTGGACTTGACCAAAGTCCTCAGTGACCCCTAGGTGAGTGCTGCCCTAACCTTACCTTTGATTCTCAAGGTTCTGCCCAGGGTGACATCCAGACAGTAGAGCATCCTAGGGCAATTAAAAGCTGTGTGTCTTAGGTGCAGGGACATTTTCAGGAGGTGGTTCTGGAGCCGGGACCCTCCCCACCTCTGCTCCTCTCTCTCCCAAGGCCCCGCTGCCAAGCCCCCAGGCTCCCTGATCTTCTGTCCTTCTCTTCTACTCTACTCCAGACCCTTTTCCTCTTCCTTTATTCCCTAATTATCCCCAGCTGGAGTGATTTTTCAATCACGGTAT